ACCGTGTATGACGCGCCGTGTTTGCAAGGCGTCCGTTTTAATTTGCATTTAACGCTCGACTTTGCGTTTGTGTTAAAATGGAAATACGCAATGCCGCTTTACCGTCGTCCCGTCGGCATAAATAACTATTCACGCGCGCTCTTAATTTATTTCTTGTGATTCTACCGTATAAAGGAAAAAAAAAAAAAAAAGAGGAAAGAAAAAAAAATTGAATATAGCATTCTGCCGCGCCGGTATTACGCAGTTCGATAGGAAATCGCGCGGTTTCAGTTTATTTCGCAGTCCGCAGTTCTGTGTTCCGCTACGAGATTGCGATCGCGTACAAGCTCGACAAGCACGTACACTTTCCGCAGCATCTGTCTTCGTTGCGCATTGTGTCCGCGACTCGATTAGGATCGACTTTTCGATTGTAACACGTCGTCGCGTGCAACGCTCGCCCGCGACGCGACGACGTGGCAGGTTTCACCTTGAAGACGGCATCGCCCTGCACCCTGCGCCCTGACGCGACCCTGTCTCCCCGTTCGTTTCTGTCTTGCCCCCCAAGGTCGCAGGCGCGATCGCATTTATTCCCTGTCGTTTTTCGTGCTTCCCGGTCCTCGACGTGCTTTATACCGCGTCCGCGTCTAAGCCGCGTTGCGTGCCGTGCATGAGCTTGCAACCCTGAAGCCGAACTACCGCCATTACCGCCCCTCAGCCCGACAGCCGCTACCCCGTCGTTCTTAAACATATGTACGATCCCCATGACAATGGAAGATGGAAAATCCCAAGGTCGAGACACCACGAAATCTAATAATTAAGGTTGGGAAAGTTACTTTTTAAAAGTGACTCCCTGACCGTTGCGAAGTCAAGAAAAATAACTAGTTGTCACTATTAGTTACTGAGTTTCGAAAAATAATTCGTTATTATTATCGCTTAAAGAGAAATTCGTTGTTTCTTCCGTTATTCCTTTTAATATTATATAAAACGAGATAAGATTAAATAAATCACAAAAAATTTAAAGAGGAAGATTGTAAAATACTCAAAATGCAAATAAAAAGATTGCGATTTCAATAAATCCATATAAATACAGCCAAATTTATTTCTTACAATATACTTCTTTTCTATCCTCAATTTAACTCGAGATTAAAACGCATTTTTAAAGATCGATATTTATAAAGTCTGTTTTTATGTTAATGCGACTCCGCGATTGATTTATAACAAACTATTGTTAAGACGATTTTAAATATAATAACGGACTATGAATATCGATCAAAAACTGAATATACAAAAATTATATCATAAAAAAATTCAAACTATAAAAAGTAACGATAAAAGTAACTTTTAAATTCATTGCTATTACTAAAAAATGAAAATACGTTATTATTACTGAAAAAAAGTAACGCCGTTACCAATCTGTTATTAAAAGAAAGTAACTCCAACGGCGTTATAAGAAATTACTTACTTCTCAACCTCGTTAAAAATATGACATATAAGGTATAACGAATTGGTATAAATTAATTTGTTACAAACGGTACAACAAAGGTTGACAATTTCCGCGTTGTTAAATGAAAAATTCTATTTGCATGGCGAATTATTCATTCGAGTTTATTCCCACTCGTGTACTTGGCATGAATTCGATTTAACGAAATAACACTAATACAATATTCTAAACAGATTATAGTGGATGTTTCAACATCTTTTATTAAAACTCGTGGAAATTGCGGCGAGCCCGGAGTAAATTCTCTTTCTCTACCAAATCGCGCTCGCGGTTACTTATATTATTCATTAAAGGAACTAAGCAAAGCTCCTTTACCGATTCGTAGTGAAACGCGGTAGAAATTCAAGTTTCGACTTGTTTACATTGCACTTCTTCGCCTAGTTACATTTTGAGACGTAAATCACATTTGAGCACGAACAGCTTTAAAGGAAAATATGCCCTTCACTTCAGGTGTGTCTTTTATTGAAAGTCCTTTGGCGAAAACATATTTTTCCGTCTTTTTACTACGACATAAGCTGCGATATATACGAAACTTTAGCGAGCTAAATCGAAAATTTAGCGAGCAATGTGGGAAATTTCGCAGTTATCATTGAAAGATAAATGGAGGGTGAAATTAAATTCCTCAGCCTTATCTAAGCAATACATATCGTGATATTTTTCCCATAACGTGTAATTGATGATCACGATACTGCCCTAGATTCTCTTTACTAAGAGTAGGTAATAATAAACTATATCAATATTTGGGGAAAAAAATTATATTGCGTTCTTTCATTCTTTGTATTTCAATTTCTGTGTACTTATAAAAAGAGTAATATCGCGTTTAATCGAGGCAATATCAAGAAATATGGCAATATCAAAAAATACAAAAGAACGTCATGCGTTAAAAAAGCAATTCATATAGGGAATAGCGCCATTAGAATTTCCAAGGTTCCCTATTCTTCGGAATTGTGCGGTACGAACGCCATGGTCAAAACTATTCGCGGCGAGGAAATATATATATCGATCGATCGGCCGCTCCTAGAAACATGGAAATAAGTTCGGAAAAGCGCGGAGTCATGCTTCGAGAATAAAAAGAAGGATGGATTTGTTCTTCGAAATCTCGCTCGTCGTTCCCTAACGAGCGGCTTGTAAATCCGCGATGCGAAGTAAGATCGATACGAATATCGTCGCTCGAGAACTCTCGTAACTTTAAGGAGGGCCAATTCGAACAAGTAAAATCGATCTCTCGAACGATGACGAGGAACGATCGACTGTTTACGTATTCTTCCGTCGCGTCGCGCAGGCGATCCTCGTTTCTGCAACACCCGGTTGTTTACTCGAGCGTGTTCGTGATCGTAGATAGATTTCGAAAGCGTCGGCTACCAGATACTGCGCACCGTGTGTTCGAGTGAACTCGAATCGGGAAATGCCACCGGGTGCGGTGCGATATCAATTCCGATCTTTCGACACGAGATATTTTTCCAGAGGATATGTGTCTCCCTTTTTTCTTTCTTTCTTTTCTTTTTTTTTTTTTTTTTTGAACGTAAACCTCCGTGAAACATGGCTTTGAAATGCGATCTGTTTCATCGTCCGTCTCATCGAATGCCAACTTTAAAAAATACGACGCTCATAATAACGTTTACATTAACTCGATATCTTGAAACAAATCTAATTAGTTTTGTGAATTTTTTTTTTCCCATTCGGGAACGGAAGCGACTCGGTGCAGCCGACTGACAGCTCGATGGTTGTTTGTCGATCTTGCCGTCAGTCTGACATTTCTCCACTTGACGTTTTTACTCAAACGTTTATTCGAGAGCGCATTTCGACAAAATCCAGTCATAGGCAAAAGTCAATCTTGTGAAACGTAACTTGGATAATACGAATGCGTCCACGAATACGCACAACGTTCGATTTGACACCGTTCTTTCCGAACGGTTAAAATAAATTTCGACGATTCGTCGTTAAAAGGAGCTTTAGTAGGGAAAGAAGGAAGGGTTGAGAAAGCTGGAACATTCTGGTGGGTGGGGGAGGGTGATTCGATAAGTGAATTCGTTTGAGGACACGAACGCTGGGAATATAAAGGAACGAAAACGGACGAAGGAGAAGAGTCGGGCGGACTAGCGCTTGACGCCTCAATCTTGTTATGGTTCAGAACCGTGACTAAAGTTTTAAAGTAATTGGCACCGGGAATGTAGGTTAGTTGCTGTTCGTACTGTTAATGTCTTCTCGGCTACTTTGCACGGTAATCGATCGGGTAACGAGCAACCGAAAAGGCCATCCGTTGGCTCACTGATTGCCCGACTCATCGTCGCGATACCACTGACGCATCGCAATACTGCGCAATATCGTTAGCGAGACGAGAGAGAAAGAGAGAGAGAGAGAGAGAGAGAGAGAGAGAGAGAGAGAGAGAGAAGAGAGAGAGAGAGGAGAGAGAGACTGAGATCCGCTTCGTTACTCTGATTACCGTGCAGTATTGCTTAATCAGATTTTGTATTCCTCGATGCTGTACGTTCTACGGCTAATTACCTTCTATACGTCGAAATGGGAGTAATCCCCTCGAGAAGGGTGTAATCACGCGTCTTGATTATCATTTTTTGTACTTATTAAATATGATTAATTATCGGTATCTTATTGAAGAAAACAATCGATTTCCAATCAGGGTTGGAAAGAGTAATGCGCTCCTTGTAACGCCGTTACCGGTATAGTTACTTTTTTTTTAGTAATTATAACTGTACTTATATTTTTTCAATAACAAATGTAACAATTACTTTTATTATTTTTATATTTTTTTATATTTTGAATTTGTTTGTGACATAATTTTTGTATGTATCAATCTTCGATCGATATTCATAGTCTATTGTTATATTTAAGACAGTTTTAAAAATAGTTTATTATAAACGAAAACAGATTTTATAAATACCGCCTTTTAAAAATTTGAATTTCTCTGAAAACAGAAAAAAAAAGAGTAAATTTAACTGTACTTATAAATTTAATGAAAATCACATTTGTCTTTATTTGATGAAAACCACAATTTTTCTTTATTCAAAAGCATATCTTTTTATTTGCATTTTGAATATTTTAAAATCTTAAATTATTTGCGAATCTAAGATAAAAAGCTTTATTGTTCTTATATTGACAGTTTAACAAAAACCATGAGAACAATTAATTTTTTATTTAATCCGTTCTCATTTTAATATTAAGAAAGTAATTGAAAAAAATAATAATTCCTTTTTAAATAACGAGTTATTTTCGAACAGAATCACTAACTAGAAAACGAATTACTTTTAAAAAATAACTTTCCCAACCCTGTTCCCAATTAATCAGCTAGATGTAAAAGAGACTAATTGTCATGAATTAAATTCTAATTTAAAGAAGAGCATCGCTAGTATAATAAAGAAAAAAATTTGAAGCGCTTCATTTCACGGTAAATATTAAATAGCTCGATAATTTCATTTTTGTTATAAAAATAAAATGGAAATCACGTAGGTAAAAGGAGCAAAGTCTGCGCTACGAGCCGTGTATAGAATTAATAAAAGTGACTCACCAGTTCTCAGAGGCGTCCTCGTCGAGGATGGTCCCGTCAGCAAGTCGGTGAGGCAAATTAGACACCGTGCGCGGTCGATTCCGGACCCTCGATGGACCAACGACGCCGGTCCTCGACAAGCCAGCCCGGAAGGACGCCCTTGCCCTGTCGACTGCTCGAGTCAACGTCATTGAGTCTCATTAGTACTGTTAGTAATTGATGTTAAAGCGCGACGGCGTGTAAAGAGCGCGGTGCTTTCGCATAAATTATCGCCGCAACAGCTGGCAATTACACTTCTACAAGATTGACGTGCACCGTGACTGGACAACCGCTCAGTTTTTTTTTTTTTTTTATTATATCTATATTCCTGATGCTCGGATAATGTACGCAAAACGTTGAAACGGGATAAACGTGCAAGACATGTGGAACGCGAGCGTTGTAATACGCGGCATGAGACATGTGCTTAAACTCAATTAGGCGATCCGGTTAAGCTTCCACGTTAAAGTTCCTAATAAACCATTCGCGGTGCGAATATGTATTATTTAATATTAATTCATCTCACGGTATCCATTATCTCTTATTCTTCAACTCGACGCGACTGAAGTCTTTGTTCGCAATTTCCCTTTTCAACGAAATAGAATTGTAGATCGCACATTCATCTTATAATTTTTTTATATAATAATAATAATTGGTGAGCTACTTAATACTTAACGTTGTTGATAACAACCAGCCATTTAATGGTCACCGTTAGATGTATTAATGACACGTGCGCCGTCGAAAGTTCACGATGGATTTAACTTGGTCGACTCTGCATTGTCGCGCTCGGCCCATCGAACTTGTCACTTGTCAAGTACTGGAAAATCCATTTGCCACGCCGCCCGGCAAGGATACTTCACAAAGATAAGTCAGTCAACGTCATACTTTTAATTCGCCGTTCGACATCGCGACGTCTGGCACACAGATGACAGAATGTGCAATCCCCATTTCTGCTCTACCCCGCTTGATTTCGCGCCAGCCATGGCCGTTGAACTTTCGTTAAAATATTATGCCTGTCATGAAATCTTCGCCGAACGCCGCCAGAAAATCCGTCAGTCTCTAACCGAAAAACGACGTGATCATATACATATCGCACTGAATTTTCATCAAGAAATGCTCGAAACGAAAAACGCGGATCGCTTCCACGCAGATTTTTTCTCATGCGGATTTAAAAAGCTCCTCAAAGTCAATTTCAAAATTTCAGCCGTGTACATACGTCCCCTTCCTACGAGTGCCGTTATAATATCCGTCGAATATTATTTGTCGAGAGAAAAGCGTATTTGAGCGCGCGAGAAAAAGGACGCAATTATCAGCGAAAAACTCGCGCGTTATTTGCTCGTTACATTTAATATCGATATGTAAATGCGCGCTATTAAAACGCCGCGCGGTAAAACGCGATGAAGAAACTCTCAATGTAATCATATTCGCACTTGGGCCGCAAGCTGGTCGACAAAATTACAGCCGCGATCGCTCATCATCAGCGCCAGCCGAGGAAAAAGTGAACGAAGCTAAAGAGAAGAGCTTGACAAAGAGCATCGGCGATCAGATAGGAAGGTCACACAATCTTCTCGAGTGTGTTCATTATGTGCACTATCGATTGTTGTAAAAAAAGGAAAGGATCGTTCTTCGCGCGAATGTCCGCTGGAATAATGTGCTATTAGGATGCGGATTGATTGGATCGTTTCCGCGTTGTTTTTCTTTACCTACGTGATATCGTGACCTGAGTCAAGCCGCGATAATAAGAGGAAAATGGATGTGGAGACAAATATGAAATCGCAAAATTGAAAAATGGCAAAAATCAAAGTAAATGATTCAAAATAAAGATGGCTTCGAAAATAGATAATTGCGGATGCGCAATTAATAACTTCGTGCAAGATTAAGTTCTACGGGAGTAACTTAATTATTTAGACAAGACACTAATAAGAGTTCCGGGAATAATTATATTTGGTAATTATTTAATGATTATTAATTGCAATAATCGCAAACATTAGGTGACCGATTTATTTAGATGATGGATTACTCCATCAAATATCCGTTATTGATTGCATTTTGATGAGGCTAAGGCTGAAGCATAGCTTAAGCTCCTGGAGACACAATCTCAAACTCTATGAACTATCGATTGCGGATTATATCGGCTTTTCAAAATTCCTATGTATTCAATTATTGGTATCTTGAGTGAGTGAAGTGAAGATACTACTCGCGATTATATAATATAACGACAATTTGCATTTCACATCCGCCATTAATTAATGGATTAATTATCTGAGCTACCTATCACTTATCAAAAATATATTACAAATCAAAACATCAAAAATTTTGAACTCAATAAAATTTGTCAAATTTCTTTGAAAAAATGATGTTTCTCTTCAATTTTCAAAATTATATCATTGCAAATGCTTCACTTACCAAAAATATGTTACAAATAAAAAATTTTGTATCGAATCAAAATTTCTCGAATTTCTCTTAAAAAATGACGTTTCTCTTCAATTTTCAAAATTATATCATCGCAAGTGCTTCATTTAAAAAATATGTTACAATTCAAAAAATTTGTATTCAATAAAATTTTTCTAATTTCTCTAAAAATATATTTCTCTTAAAAAAAAAAAAAATAATGTTTCTCTTCGATTTTAAAAATTTTACATGTATCATCGCAATTTGTTTGATGAACAAACTTTTCCTTTTCGATTGGAAGGAAAGACGTGAATCTAAAGCCGAATAGAAATAAAGGGAGGAAACCAATCGCGTTCATTGATTTCTCTATGCGTGACACTTGCGAAAAAGGCATTTCCTCGAGCGCGCTCTTAACGCTACGCGACTTTCCACCACGATCGATTTCTGTTACAAGTCTCTAGCCATCAGCTGAGCTGCTTAGGGGGCGGATTATCAACCAGGAGGTAAGGTACCTATAGCTACCTATTCGAGGGCATAACATTTATTACCGGGTCAGGGTTAACCGTTAGGCGCGCACGTCCAGCGCTCTGCAGCGTCATTCTAAAAATAGTTTCGCGAGCACTCCAGATATAAAACACGACCACGTGTCCCGTTCTCCGTACGCATGTATATGTATATGTATATGCATATGCGTATAATATGCGTACGCATACGCATAAATGCATACGTTCTCCAAGCTCGTTTGGCGGAGCAACGAAAAGTTTATATGAAATCTGCGAATTACGTTAATAAATAAATCAACAATTTTCATATGAAATAAAGGAGAGATTTTGTAAATGAAAATCTCAGTACGATGGGATATTATGAACAAAAAAAAAAAAAAAAAAAAAAAAAAAAAAAAAAAAAAAACGAAAAAAGTAAACGCGGCGAACGAACAACGTAAACGTAAAACGTAAACGTAATAAGAACAATTACTTATTTTTACTTTTAGTCGACAAGAACAAGACGTATAACTAGATATATGTTGTGTTCGTTGTAAAGTAAATTAGTTCATAGTGCCGGTTAAGTTAATAAGTAAGTAGGTAAGTAGAGTTAGGTAGTAAGAAAAACACGAGGTAAGGTAAGGTAAGTTAACTAACGACGAAAAAAAAAGAAAAATAAGAGAGAGAGAGAGAGAGAATAAAATAGAAATATGCAATGTATATATATATATATATCACGTGCAAGAATGACAATGACGCGATGTAACTGCGCACACGAAAGAACTGAACTCGCCTCCGAATTTCTGCAGGATTGTAACGCGGCTCATTATGCGGATACACCTGACCTGAATCTATGATCGTAATAATGATCGTCACAATGAGGAGTAGCCTACGTGTGCCACACCACGTCCCACTTGTGAACGAGGCGGCCCCGAATGTCAGCGGCGACGATGTCTTATAACGGACGGTGCAGCGGGAAATAATGATAGCCGCGTTTAAAAGCCGCAAGAAGTTATATGTGTGGGAAGCACGAAATGTCTTGGCAGGATATCGTGTGTAAACGTTAGGGCCGATTAGAGATGCCGGTTTGGTCTGGCTACACGAATAGGAAGAGCCGGGATTTTTCGCGTCTAATCGGTGACACGCACGTCGTCACGTCGCCATTGACGGAAAAGGTTTGGTTTTTGTTTTTTCTTCTCTAACTTTCAGGATTTCCTCTTCTAGAGATTCTAGACGTTCTTTTGTTCTCTAATTTTTCAGATTTCCTCTTAGAGATTTGACGTTTCTCGAATATTTAGGACGCGACGGAATTTCGCGTCTAACGAAACGTCGGACGCCCTCTCTCGAATTTCTCAAAAGTCCAGATGTGTCGCAGACATTTTACGATGGATTCTCATACTACATCCAAGCACGCACGTGCACCGAGATGAGACGAAATAGAGAACGAATAAAATTGGAACATACAGCGTGTCGCGAGCCTGTTGTTGGTCTGACTCGGCGGCGGAATCGCGGGCTGCGGCGGTGGCTGCGAGCTCAGATCCTCGAAGTTTATGATTTGCAGGCAAATGTCGTCCACCTCGCTCCTTATTAGCGCTATCACCTCGCTGCAGAGGAACTTGGTTCCTGAAATAGGAAATTAGCAAGTCAGATAGCCGTATCCGAGGCGCCGGTTGTCTGCACGTCCTTCGAGCTCTCATCATAAATGTACATATACGAACGAATACTCGAACCGATGCACTATGCAAACCTTAATTTACTTGTAAAATAATCCGCGAATATAAGAATCAGCTTAAATCTTACAAAGTGAAACATCACTCTAAAACGGTGAAGATCGAACACTTAGTCGATTGACTTGCATTCTAATAAGAGCATTCAAAAATTAATTCCTATTCTGTGCTGTAGGAGTGATTTTTAACTCTTATAGAATGGCAAATAACTTGAATAATTCAATTTTCACAAATTCAATTTTCATTCTATAAGATTTATCTCCATTTCCATTAATGTAGAGTAACTTTGATCTCAATTTATTCTTCGATTTACCCTTTATCTTTTTCTAATTCATAAAATTATAAAGATACATAAAGATAGAAAGTGGATTTAATCGAGATCAAAATTCTAATCTACTTTGATAAAAATGAGAGTTAGAGGGTAAACATCAGCAAATTCTCAGTCTTGAAAAATATAAAGATCCACAAAAGTATAAAATATAACGATCAAAGAAATAGTAGTATTTCTAATAAATAATAATTCTTATATAATATAATTTATTATATAAATATCTCAACATAAATAAGCGTCTTATGTCATTTGAAAGCACTGGAGTGTATCGCATATGCAATCTGTACAACTCGACAACTCAAGTTACAATTCGATACGCTACGTCGAAATCATGGCGATGTCACTTTGATGCGTGTCAAGGACTTCTATCGTGGCGCAACTGTAAAATTCGAAAATATTGAGCAGTGAAACTCCAGAGTACAAACCGCCGGGGAAATTTCATACCGGGGCACGTACAAAGCGCCGCGACCTATTCGCGCGACGCGCAACTCTGTGACGCGATAAATATTCCAGATTGACGTTTACTGGATGTCTCTTAGACACCGATGCGCAACTCTGCACCACTCGGTGGCGGCGATATTTCATTTGCAAATGGACGCGCGAGGATGGGGGACAAAAGAGCCGATAGTAAAATTACGAAATTTCCGAAGATGAAAGTCTCTGGATCGCGCCCAGATACTTGTTACCAGTTTGGCCAACGCTAATATCCTCGTAAAGCCTAGATTGTTGCTGCAGTGACATAAAAGTGTTAAGTTGCCCGATATAAGCCCGTCATAACAGCCTCGTTACATCATATCGCGCCCAATGTGAATACAGCGCGGAGTCATATCGCGACCTGTTTATATTGCAAATAGCAGCTCGCGGCGCTCTCGCAGAAAAAAAAGGAGAAAAATGTATCGTATATTTTATCTTTGACATTAGCCACGAGGAATATAAACACGCAATAGCGACTTCCTATGTGAGCGTCAGCCTGTTTTCCTGCTGCGTAATTAAATTTCAAAGAATTATCATCAAGGTTGAAATTTTATCATTTCCATTTTCCGTCGGCGTTTCCAGGCGAGGCAGGCTCACCTCGGTTAATTATAAAAGTCAACGCAGCCTTGACAGGAGAATCGCGGAGAATCAAGCAGATAAGATGTCAGCTTTGGACCGCGAGAGTTTCAGCTTCAGTTCAGGAGAGGTCGGCAGTCCTGCGCGCGAAAGAAAAATAATTTCATGCACAAAGCGTTAACGAGATTTACACGAAGTAACTCGTGAACTAATTAGCGACGATGTTTACGTGTCGCAGGTCACCATGTATGTCGGGGCGCTTTGAAAAAAATTCCGAGAACGCAAAGAGAAGCATGTCCTCTATGAAAATGCGCTCGGCCAGAAATCGAGCCAAGATTGCCACCTGGATATTCCATAACGAACGTCATCTCCGCGCAGCATCAACATCTTTGATAAGATCCATATGTCCTATCGGATTACACAAGACGTCAGTTTGACTTTGCGGTACCACAATAGAACGTATATATTTCTCGTCATGATCAAACGATCGTTTCTCGCATCTCGATCGATGTCACGGTCAAGGCTGATGCGCCAACCTGTTTTTACTCCTTGCATAAGCGTTAAATTTTATCTTGCGCAATAAACAGAAAAATTTTAAAACTTTTGCGGAATTAATTAGGATAATATCTCGGAACGTCGTGCGATGTTTTTTAATAGAAACATAATTATTCTCTACAAAGACTTATTTTTTTTCTTAAATATACCTCTATAATCCGACTCGAATGTCTCCGTATCTAAATTAGCTTAGATGTTTCAGACAAGCGCTCCATTTCCCCGCAAATTTTAGTCGTGCCGTTAATTTCACAATTCGCATCTCGCGTATTGCTAACGCTTAAAGCGGCCGATGTGTGTGTGTGTGTGTGTGTGTGTGTGTGTGGGGTTCTCCAGCAACGTTTAGCAACGATAGCACTGTCCTATCGATCCGCCATTTCTTTCTCGCTCTCGGTTTCTCTCTTTGTGTGTAATCACGCACGTCACAATTGGTCACACGGTTGGTTTTTTTTTTTTCAAGTCCGCTTGAAAACGCAAGCGAATCGTTTCCGAACGTGCGTGACTCGTGGATCTCAAGCACAAAAAAGAAACACATGTCCGATATATTTTTTAGAGACGATTTTATCCTTGGAAAATATAAAATGCAATCACATAAACTTACAAATTAAATTTAAAAAATTGAAATAACTCGATCTTTTCTCTTCGATTTATATAATTCTTTCAAAAATTTTGTAAAAAGTGAAATTAAAAAAAATTTCTTTCCCTTCTGAAATATCCTGACCTAAATTTAATTTCAAACTTGGTATGTTTTATTATTTTCCTATCGTTATTTGCAGATTAAAAAAAAGATATATCAACAAAGATTATGTGTATTTGATTGTATTTGATGTGAAGACGTGTATTTGATTAGAAGACGCGAGAGTCAATTAACAAAGGATTATAGCTGTCGGTTTGTAATATTGTTATTTTCGTTAACGTAGAAATAACAAAGATGTGCCATTCATCAGCCATTTTCAATATACTCTTTTACATCATTTCGTCCACAAACAATTCTAGAAAAGAAGAGAAAAAGTAGCTTTATCCTTATGCGAACAATCGGGAAATTCGGACGGTTCAACTTCCTTCTGAACACAAAAGCAGAACTACATTGGATTTACATCATTAAAGGAGAATTTTGCTAACATCGTTGTATCTTAAGTTCAGCACTTTCTATTTCACGAAAATTTTTGTTGCCGAAAGCCACTTCTATTCCGGCATTATGTTTTTCTGATTTTAGAAAAATGGATCGGAATAGGAGCTGATGTGCTGGAAAGTGTGAGGTTTTTCAGCCGGATGACGCCGCCGAAAAGGTTAAACGATATCACTGGGAACAGCGTTTCCCACTTCGGCGCGTCTGATAAGGCCAGAGACGGATGTTCTATCTCTCTCCACACGGTTCCGGAATTTCCCGAATGGGCACCACGGCAGGCGGATTAAAGATCCAAAGGTGTTAACGGTGAAAAAAATAGAACAAAAAGAACGGCGTAAGCACGGCCGGAGATACTGCAGCAATTCATTTTACGAGGACGGTATTCTGAAAACACACGTCCGCTCGTAAAACCGGGCAGTAAAGGCGGCCGTTCCATTGCGGCCGCGCGTCTCGTACGCGGAGAATAAATTTTTACAAAATGGAGTGCGCGAACTTTTCCATATGTGACACCCCGGCTGCTAATCCAGACCCTGAAATTTTAGAGCTCATCGAAAACTTCTCTGAAGCTAGAACGAACCTGCGAAACGACGAAGAACAGATTTGTCGATTTGACGATGTTTATTTCTTTGTAATAAATAGTATAAACAACGATTAATATAAATTAATATAAATAATTAAAATAATATAATATATAATAATATTATAATAATAATTATATATATATATATGTACATTATTATAAAATCAAAATATAAATAATTATAATATAATATAATTAAAATAATATAATTACAGAGATATATGTATATAATTATTCTGATAATTATGTTTAGATATATAAGATTGTGTATTACAATACTAATAAGATAGTAGATATTAGCATTCAAGAGATACAGTTGTGTATTCGTGTAAATATGTAAATATGAAATATGTATTATCAGTCACTCGCTATCGTAAATTTGGGAATAATATATGGCATGACATAATTCCCATGGCGATCGTAAAAGCCATCCGTAGCAAATTGCCATTGACGGATTAATGCGTGCGTCGGCATGACGTATCGTGTAGAAACATGAGAGGAAATTGCAGACAGATATATAATAATAGCCAATAAAATAGTGAGTAGAACACAAAGTTGCCTCGATCATACTAAATCCTTTTTATCTGTAAAGAAAATCATCTCGTACTTTTTCTTCTCGTGATAATAAAACCTTAAGAAGAAAGGATAAATGAATTTTGAAAAGGAGAAAATGTGTTTTCATATTCTTGCGAATTTTATTACGAATATGACTACGAATGTGGTTATTTTTTGGAACTTCAACAATTGGATTTTATTTGTTCAGAAACGGTGCGTGAAGTTTCGAAGGAAATTTCGAATTCTGAATGATCGACCCTTGAAAAAATACGCGCGTGAGGTGTGAGAAACAGCCGAAGGGAGGACAACGAAAGCCGAGGGAACAAAGACGAGCGGATGTAGTAGTGTGGATTTCCTCGGAATTTTCATCGAGATAATCCATGGAGAGAATGAAGAAAGGGAGTTTCTCGTTGTCGGATGAAAGTCCAGAGGCGCAATTTCTGAGACCATGTACTTCCCAGCCCCGTGATGAACTGATGAACATCGAAGAACACTCGCTTTGTTCCGCTCGAGTGATCGCGTCTCATCATGTCCTCGTGGTGCAACTTTCAGGCCGACAAAAAGGAGAATCTACCGTGAAACCGCGAATGACGGCTAAGCGAGAGAATTTAGAGAGAAAAGCGCAGGGAGGGGACGATGCGCCATCGAGGGTGAACGCACCCACGACCTATTCGGTATCGTTGGTGAAAAAGGGGATGA